TTTGCACCTCTGGGTTTATCCTCTGGCCTTGTTTCTACACACTAATGGAGCCAACAGTTTACTTCTAATCTTGTTTTCAGCTTAGGCCGGTGATAGTAATGGGCTTTATCTCCTCACTAGCATGGACAAGACGGTTTCCCATAATAGATCAAGCACTCCCTACCGACACTGTCAAAACCTAATGGACACCCACATCTGCAGACACACACACACACATAACCATGGTCTGTTAAAAAATTAGACACTTCAATAACAATTAATCCTTCAACCAAATCCACCAAAACAGGGAGTGTGTTTTGGCAGAAGCTCCAGAAAAGAAACGAATGTCCCAAATCTTGTATCCAGTCATGCATGTGGGAACCTCCCCATCACTTCTGCCGGTGGTAGCTGTCATCACACTCCTCACAATAGACACACTGTCTCTGCCCAGACACCAGTGTCAGCACTTTTTCTCAGGATGTCCTGATTGTACTCAAATGCTCTTGGATGACCTTTTGCTTTTTTTCCCCTTTAGTTTTGTTCCAACACTGAAAAACAAAGGAGAGCATGTTAAGGAGTGACAATGTGATGTTAAACACTTTTGTTTTTACATCAATCATCAGTTTTTATTTAACAATTTTCACTTAATAAGCCCCATCTAGAAAACACAAACTGCCCTGTAGGTCGAAACCAAGAGAATACTGAAACACCAGCTGGTCATTCCCTTTTTCAACGTTTACTTTGATTATGAAAAAGTGTAAATCCATTGTTGGTATAATGGGACTCAAATGCTTTTTTGAATTACTTTGGTATAAAAAAATTACTTCTGGTCAGATCAACAAGCTAACCGCTAATCCAAATGGGGCCAAGACTAAACAACTCTAATCTCAGCATCTTCATCAAAGTTTAAATGAAAACAATTTGATCAACCTTTACAGCACCATCAGTTTTGTTTTGTAAATTTTACAGAGAAGAATAAAGTTATTTGCAAGGGCTTATTGCCAACTGCAGCACTTCCTGATCTCTTCCTGCAGGAATATTGTGGTTTTTTATTTTCAGAATATTCCTATGAATATTGTGCCAGTTAAAAAGTGGCAAATTCCATTTGTTTTGAGATTCGAGTTTACGATGGCCTCATTTGAAACAGCCGTTAGCATGTCAATGTAGCCTGATTGAATCTGTTTCTCCAAACTGAGGCTGTTCCCAAAGCCATCTACGAGGTGGCTATTATGGTCATCACCATTCATTTTCCTCCACATATCCAGCTTCAGGTTGTGAGGCAGCAGAGAGGCCCAGAGATCCCTCCAAGGCCAGCCAAGTCCCCCCAGCGTGTTCTGGGTCTTCCAATTGGTCTCTTTCCAGTTGGATGTCCCTGGAACACCTCAGTGGGGAGGTGTACATGCTGCTCATCACCTTGCCACAGAAAGCCACTTCAGCAGATCTGAATTTTCCCTTTAAAGTCAGGAAACATTGTCTTCCTCATCATATTGTATAAAAGCCATCTTATGGGCTCCTGCTGCCTCAGATCATCACACTTCTCCCTCCATGCTTCACTGTTTGACCTGTGCCCTCATCTCCAAACACACCAAACCCCAACCCAGCTGAACTCATTTATCTCAGTCCCATCTGTCTAAAGAATGTGCCCCAATATTCATCAAGGTCTCTGTCAACGTTCTTCGCCAAAGTATGCGCCCCCCTCATTTGCTAAAGAGCACGCTGAGTGTTTTTTTCTTCTCGCCATTCATAGAAAATGATTGAAGGGCTTTCACACTGAGCTGTCAGAGATCTTTCACGGATAAACCCAGAGACTTATGAAACATCCACCTGCTAGGCTCTGCAGCTGCAGGAGTCGGGTTCAGGTTTGGTTTGCATTTATAGCTCACCTGCACGACTGAGTAGAATTGCTTTCTATTGACTTGGCAACACAGAAATGATTTTTATGAGACTCTCCAATCTTTGCACATTTGAAATATCATGATTAAGCTACGTAAATCCTGATCCTTAAAGACGACTGTCCTGCATGTTTTAGATGTTCGTCTGCTTCGTCACACCTGAATGGAATAGAATTACCCCTCATGCAGAAACCTGGTGTTTTGATGCAGAGAAACATGTAAAATTAACAGGATTTGTGACGTTGCAGACTGGGATTGGACTTCGATGGAATATAAACATCTATTCCTACATTAAAGGCATAGTAAGCACTTCTAGTTTTATCACTTTAAGTACACACTCATGTTTATTGGCTGAGCTTTAAACAAGATTAAGCACATTTTACATCACTCTTTTGTTCTCTTTCATTAGTAAAAGATTAAAACACATCCTACATCATTTCTAGGGTTATTAAAGCAGAGCTTTTAGTTGGGGTGAAAATACAGTTACACAAGAGGCCCTAAAGGGAAGTTTATGCAAGTCAAGTTCATATATTTCCACTGTTTGCTTCAGAAATTATAGTCTCTAGTGCAGACTTATTGCCATGCATGGGGAAAAAAAATATTCCCCTAAGCTATAAATCTAGAGATTTAACTTCTCAGCACAAGATATTTCTGTATTTCTTCTCTTAGCTTTTCACCTTGAATACTTGCTGTGTTTACAGCTCTTATTTCCCCCGATTTTCATTTGTTTATTTTGCCAAAGAAAAGTTTTTAAGGAACTTGTGCCCGGTTTGGTACACTTCTTCTCATATTTGATCAAACTAGACAGAGTTGGTTCTGAGAAGTGCCACAGCTATAAAACGGACATGTGTATCTAATTAAACTCGTTAGGATCTGTCCCCAAACAGACATGTGAATCCATTAAGGGCATGAGTCACCCATTCAAGAGCTGACGGAGAGAGCTGGCCTTGTTCTTTAACAAAAAAATAACCCAAGTTTCCCGTAAGCACTCTCGGGTGTTTCGAACTAACGTACACAAAAACCGCTGGTAGACACCGTTATCTTGGCTAGAAACGAGCTGGTCCACACATGCATCAACATGAACAGTCACTGCCAAACGATAAAAAAGGGAGGAAAATATCAACATTGTAAAAGTAAAGGAATTAAAACCTACGGGGGAAAAAACAGACGATTTCATTAAAAAGAAGAAGTCATGTGGAAAGAAATTAATTAAAACAAAGAGAGGGGTTGAAGGAGTGCAAGGCTGTAATCTCTCTCATCATCAGTGCTTGTTATAGAGTCATTAGCAGGACTTTCAGACCGTGAAAGCCTCCCTGAAGGACACACACACACACACAATTCCACTAAAAAAGACCTCTGTACATGTCTGATCTTATACATCTAACCCTTGTTAAACTGAAATTAAACAATAAATCGTTCTAATCGCCAAACAACAGGCTCCAAAACTCTATCATTTCCTGTATTTACAAATAGCTTCTTGTGTTGGGTTTTCTGTGTTGCTCTGGGAGAAACATCTGAGTTTTATAGAGTGTTGTTTCATAAGGGGTTGTGTGTTTCAGCGTTTGATTCAATGGTGCCAAAAGGTTTTGGACCACCACTGTCGGTACCAGTTTTGGAGCTCGAGTAACAAAAACTGAAATTTTTTTTTTCCACTTTCAGGCAAATCCACTGATCTTCAAACTGCCCCTAAAGAGTGAAAGCAGCAGATTTAAAAAGGCTATTTGGAGCAAAGTCCTGTGGTTTTGGAGCCTACACATCCAATTAGTGTCTTCTTGTTCAAAACGTCTTGCATGTTTCCCTTTTGTTTCTGTTGTTTCTCAAAGAAAGGACCACAAAAAAGACAATTCTCAATAAGAGATGAAATCCAAACACGCTGAATTAAACGTGAAACACGTGGCAAAATGAGATTATTCTCTGAAAGTGTAGAGAGAGGGATGAGAAGTCAGAGGATGACGAAGGATTTGATTCAGCGATGTGTGCGACTGCGCCGAGAGGGCTCTGGAAAACTGAAAGTCTGTGTGAACTCATATGGTATCAGAAATGAATAAAGTGGGGAAAATTAAAAGGCCATAGGTTCAACACTTTACTAAGATCTTTATGTATAAAGTTAGCATTTTCTCCCAGTGCACATGTGGATTTTCTCTGGTTACTCCTGTTTTCTCCTACAGACCAAAAACATGCAAGTTAGGGTAATCATCGATCCTAATTGTCCCCAGGTGTGAGTGTGTGAATAGTTGTTTGTCTCTATATGGCCTTGTGATGACTGGTGACCTGTTAAGGTATCCAGTGTCTCTCACCTAATCGCCCCTAATGACAGGCACCAGCTTCCAGTGACCCTTAACAGGAAAACAGCAGACATTGATCAATATTAATAATGTTTTTTAATTGGAATTCACTTAGAAATATTACGGCCGTCAACATGAGTTTCACACTCTGTCCGAGGCATCCGGGCGGTTTCATCGATTGAGGAAAATGTCTGAATTTGCATCATTTTTCAGGGGGGCATTATATCAATTGACTGACGCGACTGGTCGATCCAAACAAATGACCAATATTAAGTTGGCATGTTGAAGACATGACGTAGAAGAGTTTGGTTGGTCCGGTCAAAATGCGGGAGTTATGTTAGCACGTAACATGGTCGGCTAACCAGATATCTGTTTCTGTGGGTTGTAGCTCTTCTAAAGCGAATATTTGTGATGTCTGAAGTTTACACCCACCTAATTCAACAGTAACGCTGCACAAAGGAGATTTTTGTAAGTTCCAGGAGAGTCTTGCAAAATCCTTATTAACTACAGCTGCTCAAGGTGCTGAGTCATACCATCATTTTGGGGCTCATTAGAGATCTTCTGAAATTGCTGTGAATAATAAGAGAGCATTTTGAAAGCAGCCTATGTGGCTGCAAAGTATGGTCAACGCTGAAAAGCTAATAGCGATAATTCATGTATGCTTTGATGTTGTAATGCACAAGTGTTTGTTTTGCTAATCAGAAGTACAGAATTTGCACACATACCCTCCCAGAAAAGTGATTTCCCATGCATGTTTAAATAGATATGCTCAGGAAATACATATGTTTGACTGCCATGTGTAAATCTGCTCTTGCTGATTATTATTTTCCTCTATTTGCTGAAGGTGCGTAGCCAAGGAGTAACAGAGGAGTTAAAGTGCCTGAGTTTACTGAATGCTCTGGATAAAGACCAGGACATCCCAGACCAGCTGGCACAGCTCTTTGGAGAGCCTTGCATCAAACTGGCTGAAGGAATCAAGGCCTATATCTCAAAGGTAGGACAAAATTACCTTTTGTGTAACAAAAAAGGGTCTTTGCATAGTTTTGCATTTTTCGTAACAATTTTAGGTTTTATTAGAGCTTTTGAGAATGTTTTTAGACATGGAACGATGGATTTTGTAAAAGCTTTGTGAGAAATGAGTGTTTCTCGTGCACACTCGGAATGAACTTTTTAAAAAGATATGGTCTTTAACCACAAAAGGTGCTAATCCACAAATTCATGAACATCAACTAAAAAAAACATGCCTGTGGGGTCAGGGCTGGTCAGGAACCTGCAGCTTCTAAAATCCTGAAATCCAGAAAAGATGACAGTACAAATAAAAAGGTGTCAAATATTGATAGTTGGGGTTGTAAGAAACTTGTTGTCTAATGAAAAAAGGTTGCAGGTTTAAAACCTGGTCATTCTATATGGGGGTTGATAATACTCTGGCCTCTGCCCACAATCCAATATCTTGTACGTTGGGTTAACTGACAACATAAAACTCCTCTTAGGTGGCTTTGGACATAGGGAATTTGTAAATTCACATGGCCCCCTTAAAACTCAGGAGTTGTCAAAGAACCCCCTTACATGTTTTTGTTGTCATTGACAAACATTTCAAAGCAACCACAAAGAAGAACACGATGCATTGTCTTCTGTTCTCAAATGAAGCTAGGGATTGAATGATTTGCAAATCCTGATATTCTCTTTTGGTTTATAATTTCCTCCTCATCGAAGACAGGCGTGTCAATAAGACCTAATTTCATGCCTGTGAATCATGCCTCTCTGATATAAAACCTTTATTGGTGCCTGTTTGACCAGCTTTTCTGAGTCCAGGATTAGGACCAGATGGAGGCTGCTTTGGTTTCAGCTTGGAGGAATCTGCTCGAGCTTGGAAACATCTGCAGGGACTAATGCTGACCACGGGGTGGGGGGGTAATTGGGTGCATTTGTCATCATAATGGAAAAAATGGTCATCCGTAAGGGAGTGTCACTCATGAAATACATCCATGTAGAGGCCATGTGTGGAATTAAACAAAGTCAGATGGACAGTTTGAGGAAACCATCTCTGGTATCATTCTTGACAGGCTGACTCAACTATAAAACACATGTGAATTAAAGAATAAATATGGATAGATGAGTTTGAAATATGTGTTAGTGGTTTACCATAAGTGATTATTTAGGATGAACTGATGACGACGGAAGGTTTTAGGGTTTAGCTGACTGATAAACGCTCTTTTGGTAGCTTTTTTTATTTCTTTTTGTTTGAAAGATCGTTCAGTTTTATGTTATGACCTTTTTAATCTAGTGATCATTAGTCACTTAGTAAGAAAGTGGAAGAACACGAATATTAGTGCTATAATGACAAACTGTAATGACAGTTTCTCACCGTGCCTCTTTTTGTGTCGGTAGGGTTGCATTACTTCATCAGAAATGGGGCTTTCAAAGAGTTTGTTGGCATACCACAAACTTATTTAATATTTAGCGAGAGTAGACATACCTTTAGAACAGCATCACTGCTACTATACTGAGTCTTTTCGCCAAAAGTGTATATGAGATGTATGCTCCAATGTGGGCATTGAAAATATTATTTCACATACTTGTTTGTGTGTTTGTGTGTGTGTGTGCAGTGTTTGGTTTGAACTTGCTTGACTTATCGGCAGTCTGTCAGAGCAATTCTTTCTTGTAAATGTGCCAAACCTCATAGTTGGCTGAAGCCAAGAATTGAAGGCCTCTTACAGGAATCTCCAATCACGCTTGACTTTTCATAACCTCTTGCCAAGGATTCACTGTAACCATCTTGTAAATCTAAAGCCTGACATGCCATCATTTATATGCAGATAAATAATCTGAACGTCAAACAATGTGACGTATTTATCGCTACGGAAATCAGTGAACAGGGCAGTATGCCATACATCGTCAAAAGAATAAGTGAATGCATCCTTTTTCTAAATAAAGGACTAAAGTACCTCTATCTGCTCATGTCCCAAAGAAAATCCCAAGTCTAAACAGTTTCAAGATGATGCCAAAGCCGTTTCAAACAAGCCCTGTACCTGAGCCAACGCCATCTTTGTATTTTTCCACAAATGTAGAGCGCTGTGATTGGTCAGACACAAAATTGTTCAGGCCAATAGACCCTTTTACTACCTACGTCATCAAAAGTTGCGCGCGCAGCCTGGCAACGAGAGTGAAGGCTTCCTCATTCACACTCGATACTAAAACAGCGTTTTAAACCCTTTGTTTTGGAGTTCTGAGCACATAAAAATGTCGGGTTGTTGCGTGTATGGATGCCAGAACCGCTTCTCTTCAAGCAGTGGACTGAAACTTTACAGAATTCCGAAGGGAGCACATCCATTTCAACAAAATCGGAGGCGTCTGTGGCTGCAGGCCATCAAAAGGGTTGATGAAAACTGGACTGAAAACACGATCCGAAATGCTCGAGTTTGTAGCGCCCAGTTTATATCAGGTAAGGTAATTATGTACTAAGATTACATATAAATTTATACGCTTTATGTCATGCTTCAAATTAACATTTCATTCTAATTCATCTGTATTTTCCCACTGCATATTAGTATAAACTGTATTTCTCTAAAATTAACACGATTGTACTCTGAGCACGCTAAAAAAAGAAACCTATGCTATACTCACCCTGCCATGCAGGCACAGTTGGCTGTGAAGACGTAGTTCTCTGGTTGGTTTACTATGACCCAAGCCTCGTACATAGCAGTCTTGTGTCCTTGTCTTTGGCTAGGAAGGACTTCTGCCTTCAAGACGCAAAACTCAGTCTATGTCGTGATATTTTACTTTCTGTACGTGGCCACAGACAACATAGTTGTATGCATCTAACGATTTGTATGCCTGTAGCTTCTCAGGTGTGTACTTACTGGGCCTCTCCACTAAAAACGTATATATATCGGGCCACTGGATATCTGGCCACGCACCCATTCCGTAATGCCACAGGGATCCTGGAGTCTGTTGCCATTTGTTAAAGTGAGTTTAATAATATAACATTCAAGATTTGCCGGTGATAACCCCGCAGCGTAGCTTGATAAAGCCTGAAACAACGCCATTCTCTGTTGCCAAGCTGCACGTGCATTCTCGCTGACGTCATATTGTTTACAAACAGTAAAAGGGTCAATAGACCTACTGAAGTCACAATGGGGTGTGGTTAAACCAACCTGATCCAATAAAACCTCTTAATGTTCATCATCATCATCATTTATTTATTTCCAACATGCCAATAACTTCACAATTAACAACACGATATAAATCAATAATAAACCTCACAAGATAAATCAGTAATAAATCAAGTTGACATTGTTGTAGGCATGTTCGAAAGGGAGTGGGCGGAAGCCAAGCTTACTCAAGCCCACCCCTATTTTTCACTAATAGTTTAACATTCAAAATGTAGAAAAAAAACTCAAATTCAACAACCTTATGACCAAAGAAAATCATAATCATAACAATAATAATGATAGTCTAGACAATTTAACAATTCTTGTCAATATCATTAATTATATATTCCCATACACCTTTACTCTCATCATTGCCCATTCTCATTTGTAATGTATTTTAACCAAACTGTTCTTCTGCAGTGTGCTTTAAAAATCTGAATATTTTGACATTGTTTGTGATCAGTCTTTAAGTTGTTCCATATTTTTATCCCACACACACACACACACAAGCTTTTACGTTTCACATTCGCACCGGTGGTAATTTAAATATTTTATCTCTCCTTAGGCCATGTGACAGCTCTTTAATCATAAATAGCATTTGTAAATTATTTGGCAGAAGTTTACTAAATGCTTTGAAAAGATTTTGAACATATCTATGTCATGACAGTCAGTAGATTGTTTGCTTTTGCATTTATAAACATTATTTATAAGTTCTTGTTTGGTTATAGCTGCATGAAACCGGGACAGTGCCAGAATGCCAGATAGGCCAGTCCACCCCTGGTGGTAGACACAGTCAGGCGGTCTTTTCACGCTTAACGTGAGTAACATCAGTCGTGTCATTTCTGTCATCCCCATGCAGGAAAACACAACAATTATTTCTATGCATCAATGGTATGCAAAAGTTGGAAAGATACTAAAACGGTTCTCGATTACAAAAGTAACCATTTGGGAAGGCTCTGCATTCACAGAAAATGTCTTCAATTCTCATTCTTTCTGCAAATACCAATCTATTGTATGAGAATCTAATTGTGATTTTCCTGAGCCATCATTCATGATGTGTATCTACATATTTGACCAGGTCTTTTGCATGAGGACTGTAAGATCCCTCAGAAGAGGAGACAAAAGCATACATTCACTACTATTGCCAACAAACTGCAGAAGAAATCTTTTTACCTACTTTAGCCTTGTTTACCTGTTGTCTGAGGACTGCATCTGGAATTTGCAGAACTGAAAGTAATTTTTTATTTTGGAAGTTTTCAACAAAACAAGTAGATTAGATCTTCAAAGAAAAAACAAACAAGCATTCCTGGAGGTTTTACCACAAACATAAAATTAAAATTTTACAAATTACTGAATAATTTAAAGGGTGGTGTTTCCCTCCTGTTTTCCTTTTATTTAGTTTTTCACCTTTTCACCGCTGCGCTCTGGTGGTGATACTATCGGAGTGTGCTGCTCCATGGCTCTGTGGTCCTCAGTGGACGGGAACAGGAATGTCTACTTCTCTTTCAGTGGGCATTAAATAAAGAACACTCCGGGGAAAATGCAGATATTTGCTTTTGAAAAACCTCCAGATGCTTTTTAAATTTATTATTTCTTTTCTCATTTTAAAAACTATATTGTGTTTATATTCATTCATTAAAAAACAGGAAGCATAAGGCTTTTCTCAAATAAAAATGACAGTTAACTGTTTATTTAAATTCTTTTAATAAACTTGAGACAAAAAGCTGAGGCTCCGGTTAGAGCGTGCCGGCAGACCGAGTAGGCGCCGTCTCTTTTCTTATAAAATGCCTCGGCGCAAAAAACTGGAGATCAAGATTTCAAACTGGCAAAAATATTTGAATGT